GTCCTTCCAAGCGCAACCTCAAAATACAAAATGTTACAATTTTTTATTTTTGCAATAATATTTCCCAATCATCAAATTTTTGATGTTCCAAAAAAACCAAAAAAAAAAAAAATGAATAAGAAAGAAAAGAAAGAATGAAATACAATTATATTGGAAACAGTGATAATATACATTATACATACAAATGAATCAACTATAAATAATTGTTTTTGCCGCTGATAAAACATTTTTTTGTTTTTTTATATATATATAGATAAATTATAAAACAAAATGAATGCATCATTCTCCGCATTTTTTACTTGATGACAAAACTGTCATAAAATTGTATCATATAAATGAAGAAAAAAAAGAAACCGAAAGAATATATATATAACAATTTATTATATTACACAATTGACTTTTCATTGTTACTTGATGCTATATAAATAAATATATATATATTATGTAATTATATAAATGAATATGCCCCTTGAGAATATGAAGTTTTGTATACGAAAAAGAAAAGAATGTTGCATTGAAAAAAAATATTCTTTATGTAACTGTAACGAAAAATGTATTTTTAATTTCGGTTGTGTATATGAATAAAATTATTATAAATTTCTTTGCGAACAAAATTTTCTTTTTTAAGGGATTAAAAAATTTTCAATTAGTATCACAATTAGAGTCGCACGAACTGTTAACAAGAGTGTTTAAAATATTTTAATGAACTGTTGACTGATAACTGATAACAGTTACATAACCGTTACATAACAGTTTAATAACCGTTACATAACAGTTAAATAACTGTTACATACATTTTACATAACTGTTAAATAACTGTTACATAACTGTTACATTACTATTACTTTTACTGTTACTTTCACTGATTTTTGTTACATTACAGCTCTATTTATTATATCCTTTACTATTATATTTTTTATTACTGTCTTGTATTTTCTGAATTTCAGTTTTGAAATTTTGACACAACTGTCGAATTATTATTACATTAATAACTGTCATCTAACTATTAATTAACTGTCGTGTAATTAACTGTCATGTAAGTGTTATATAACTGTTAGGTAACTGCTACAAAGGTTTTACAAAGAGATGACGATAATTTTTACTGCTGAAGTGTTAAATAATGATTACATAACTATTTTTCTGTTGTTAAATAATAACTTTTACGCAATTGTAACATAACTGTTACATAATAGTTACCAAACGGAAACATAATTGTTACTTAAAGGTTACTAAACTGTTACATAACGCTTAAATAACTGTTATCTCATGGTTAAATGATTGTCATTTAACATATAAATAACTAATATTTAATGGTTAAATAACTTTTATATAATTGTTTAACAACTGTCATATAATGGTTAAATAACTGTTTTTTAATGGTTAATCAACTGTTAAATATCTGTTATTCAATGGTTAAACAAGTCTTAAATAAATGTTTTTAATGGTTAAACGACTGTTAAACATTTAATTTAATTGTTAAATAAATGTTATTTAATGGTTAAACGACTGTTAAACAATTAATTTAATTGTTAAATAAATGTTATTTAATGGTTAAAAAAATGTTTAATAGTTAAACAACCGTTAAATGACTGTTTAATAGTTAAACAACTGTTATATGTTTAAACAGCTGTTAAATAACTGTTATTTAATCAGTGGTTAAACAAATTTAAATTAATGGTTAAAAAATTGTTATATAATGGTTAAACAACTATTAAATTACTGTTATTTAATGGTTAAACAATTTTTATTTAATGATTGAACAACTGCATTTAATGGTTTAACAATTGTTTAATAGTTAAACAACCGTTAAATAACTGTTATTTAATGATTAAACAACTGTTGGATAAATGTTTTTAATGGTTAAACAACTGTTATATAATGGTTATCAACTGTTAAATAATTCTGATTTAATTGTTAAACAGCTGTTAAATAACTAATTTAATTGTTAAATAACTGTTAAATAAATGTTATTAAGTGGTTAAACAATTGATATACAGTGGTTTAACAACTGTTAAATAATGGTTAAACAACTGTTATATAATGGTTAAACAAATGTTAAATAACTGTTAAATAATGGTTAAACAACTGTTAAATAACTGTAATTTAATTGTTAAGCAACAGTTAAGTAAATGTTATTTAATTGTTAAACAACTGTAACATAATGGTTATCAACTGTTAAATAATTTTTATTTAATGGTTTAACAACTCTTATATAATGGTTAAACAGCTGTTAAATAACTGTTATTCAATCAGTGGTTAAACAATTTTAATTTAATTGTTAAAAAACTGTTATATAATGGTTAAACAACTGTTAAATTACTATTATTTAATGGTTAAACAATGTTTAATTAATGTTAAATTGTTAAACAACCGTTTAATAACTGTTTAATGGTTAAACAATTTTAATTTAATGGTTGAACAACTGCTAAATAATTGTTATTTAATGGTTAAACAACTGTTATTTAATTGTTAAACTACAGTTAAATTAATGTTATTTAATAGTTAAACAACTATAATATAATGGTTATCAACTGTTAAATAATTTTTATTTAATAGTTTAACAACTGTTATATAATGGTTAAACAAATGTTAAATGACTGTTTTTTAATGGTTAATCAACTGTTAAATATCTGTTATTTTATGGTTAAACAACTCTTGAATAAATGTTTTTTAATGTTGTTTAACTGTTAAATAATTAATTTAATTGTTAAATAAATGTTATTTAATGGTTTAAAACTGTTTAATAATGGTTAAATAACTGTTATATAATGGTTAAACGAATTTTAAATAACTGTTAAATAATGGTTAAACAACTGTTAAATAAATGTAATTGAATGGTTAAACAACTTTTAAATAATGGTTAAACAAGTGTTATATAATAGTTTAACAACTGTTAAATAACTGTTACCTATCGGTTAAAGTAACTGTTTCTTTAATTTTTATATAATTGTTACTTGACAGTTAAATAACTGTAAGAAAACGGTTAAATAACTGTTACATAATGGTTACAGAACGCACATAATATTTACATAATGGTTACCTAAAGTTACATAACAGTTAGAGACCTTTTACGTTTAATTTTTTTTTTCAATGCACATTCTTTTTTAAAATGCTTAACATAATTATTTTTACGACTCTTTTTATATATTTTTTTTTCTTAAGAGTTATCTGATATAAAAGAAGTTACTGCGTGTAGTTACTGTTATCTTGATTGGTTTAAATCACAATAATACAGATATTTGTTCTTCTATAAGTGGAAATAATTTCAGTTACAAGGGAAATCTGTTTATAATAAACAATCATTGCTTACATAGTAATGATTAAAATATGTTTTACAAATTTTTAATTTCTATATTATAAGCATATTCTGTGATTGAAAAAAAATTTTTTTTTTAATTTTGTTATAATATTAATACACTCATCTTTTGTTTTCCTTTTCTCTCTAAAAAAAATTAAGCAACATTGAAAAGTGATAAATTTTAAAATGCTTTTTAACCAAAGAAACAAAACAATGAAAAAATGTTATTTTAATTCTTATTGTATTTTATGTAATTACAAAATTTTCCAAGTTATTTGCTAAATATAACTAAAAAACAATTTTCTTCATAAATTTTTTCAAAAAAAGAAAAAATTCCCTTTCTGATAATTGAGAAAAGAAAAATTTATTTATTGAACCAAAAATTCTTCGTCTTCTATAATCTTATAATATACAAAATAACTTCTTTATGCAAATTCAAAATGTAAAAAAGAAACAATACATCATAAAATGTTTAGTTGACATTCTCTTTTTATCAAAATAATAAAAATCAATTTTTTCATTATCATTGTATGAAAAAAAAAATAAACTTTTCAAGTGCGTCTTTTCAAATTTTTGATTAAAAAAAAAAAAAAAACTCCGCATTTTTTGCGAGAAATTTTGAAAACATTATAAAACATCTTCTTCATAAAATGTTTCTTGATATATACATATATAAAATATACATTTAACTTGAAATTCATCATTCGTTATTATGTATTCTGAAATTTTTTCTCCAATTTTCACTGATCAATTTGCGAATATGTAAAAATGAAAAGCAAATCAAAAAACAAATAAATCTTTGACTATTTAAATAGAAAAATGAAACTTATTAAAAATCACAGATCACAGTAGAAATTATTACATCAGTCTTTAAAAATTTAGTACTAAAAAAAAATATTTCCTTTCGGAAGTTTAAGGAAAGATGTAAATAAGAGCAAACGATCAGTAATTCAATTAATCAAGGATGGTCAATATATGTGAAAAATCGCCAAACTTTTTTTTTATAATTTTAATTTTTTTAAAATACTACTCCAGAAAAATGACTATCGCTATTAAAAAAAAGTGATTGAAAGTAATATAATAATGGACGAAGTATACTTTTTACTAATTAATATTTAATAAAATAATAAAAAATTGTCCATCCTTGAATGCATCATACAGAGGTTTCCAAATGTTCTACACTTATATATAATTATATATATAAAATATTATTAACATCTTTATTAAAAAATTGTTACGAATAAGTTTTTAACTAAATTTAATTTCATCAAATAAATATTTATATATATAGAGAGAGACAGAAAAAAAAGGTTCTAATAGTGTTAACGACAAATAATACAAAAATTATTGGTATTAAAATAAAAAAATTTTTTTTTTAAATTTTGAAAAATACAAATTTGGGAACCTTAATGGATGTAGTTTCAAAATGGAAACCCCTATATGCATATCAAAACTTGTCCATAAAAAAAAGTCGATGAATGTGTTTTATGTGTATAATTATTATTAAAAAAAAATGTTCCCTTTAATCCTAATAAGTCTTCGAATATATTCTAAGCATTTAATTGTATATAAATATGTGATAAATATATATATAAATAAATAAATATATATATGTACATATAAGTATAAATTACAAGTGTTTTTTCTGGGAGTGGGGGGGAAGTTTTTTTTTTACATGAAAACGCAAAATTTTTTTTTATATTTTTATTTTATAGTAGAAAGTTGCGTCTACAATATAATTTCTTCTTTTTTTAAATACAAAAATGAACGATCTTTGTGTAAAAGTTTGTAACAATTCTAACTTTTAATCTTTATCCAGTTCTCTCTTTACGCCGACTGTGAAATCAAAAAGATTTTCATTTAAAATCTCACCATCGGTGTCGATGAAATAATAAAAACGTTTTCCTTTAATATTCAATGGTAGAGTATTTCTGTATTTTCTTGAAGCTTTACAACTCATCTGAAAAAAATTATTAACGAAAAATTGAAAATTAAAAGTGTTTTTTTAAATATGACATTCCATAAACTAAATTAAAAAAATTTTTTTTTTAAAAACTGTTTAATATTAGGTAATATTAATTTTTAAAAAATTTATTAACATACATTTTCGAGTGATTCGGTGAATACTTGTCGTCTAGGATTTAAATGGTAAGTAACGAATGTCACCTCTTTACCTCCCTTGTGTAAAATAATGCGTCTTATTGTTCTCCCAGCGAAAAACACAATTAGTACAAAAATCATTGGACCTATTCAAGGAAAAGAAAAAAATTTAATTAATAGAGATAATTATTTATTCATAACTATATACAAAAATGTATAGTTATAAAATTTATACGACAAAAAAATAATATTCTTTTTTCTTTAAAGCACTTACCAAAAATACAACCAATAGCAATGGTGAGAAGACTAATGGGATGTTCATTGATTTTTTCTTTCCAACTTTTGGCTTTATCAAATAAATCCTGACAATATGTGTCATATATATTGGTTACCATCGAATACATACCAAACAATTGAATGAAAGCAAATGATATTACAACCGTATAGGCCACTGGTCGTTCAAAATTAAATATGAGAACATTATTTAGAATTTTATTTGAATAATCCATTTCCGCCTTTTGACATTTTTCTTCAACTTTAGACGCTTTTTTCCATCTGTAAATTGAAATAATTTTGGTTTTAAAAATAAATAACAACTCTTTCTTCACCGGTTAATAAACGCAGTATATTTCTTCAGTATTAATAAACGCAGTACATTTCTTCACTGTTAATAAACGCAGTATATTTCTTCACTGTTAATAAACGCAGTATATTTCTTCAGTGTTATTAAAAAAGTATATTTCTTCACCATTAATAAGAAGTATAAAGAAATATTACTTAATAGCAACTAAAAAGTAATTAATTTTTAAATATATGAATTTCCCTATTTTTATTATATTTGGAAAATAATTTATATATTACTAAATAATAACGGGTTGTCGATTAAAAATTGTTATAAATAAATTCATTTATTCAAATTAAACCTAATAGAAATTTCTAAATTTTAATTTAAAGAAATTTTTCATTTGCAAACATTTTCTTAAAATTTAAAAAAAGTTTTGTTTCAAAATATTTTAAAATATAATTAATTTGATTTGTTAATAACAGATTAAATAAAGATTAAAACGAGAAATGAAAAAATTGTTCAATATCGACGTGACACGTGCTGCCATCTTTGAAAGAAGCTAATAATTTGAAGGAAAGAAGAAGAAGAATAGAGAGAGAGAAGATAGGTTAACCACTGCCCTCTCTGGACGATTCTAAAAACCTTTGGAAAGAAGAATAGAAGATTAGTCAACCGCTGTCCTCTCTCGGAAATCCAAAGAAGCTTAAAAGAAAAATAAATTGAAGGTAAGCCAACTCCCTGTAAATTAATGAAAATTTCCACTAATAAACAAACGTGAAGTAAATAATTATAAAATAAAAGAAAGGTTTACAATTTAGAAAATGCATATTTTTGGAAAATTAATTTTTTAAAAAATTAATTTTTAGAAAATTAAATTTTAGAAAATTAATTTTTAGATGACTACAATTTTATTACCTCGTGAATTTTATTTGTCTCTGACTTGAAGTAAAAAATGATCTTGAATTTTGTTGAATTACTTGTGAATGTGGTCTTCTTATAACACATTTTTCTAATAAATTTTTAAACACTGAAGTTCCGGTAGAAGCATATTTTAATTGAAGAGTATTTCTAAAAACAAGACTTGACATAAACATTATGTTCTTAATCGAAAATAATCTTGAAATTACAATCACTAACAACTTGTTAAAATTAAAACACTTTTTCTAACTTCTATTTTTAAACATTGTATACACTTTCTGTTTTTTTAAATATATAATTAGTAAAAAATTTTCTCCTCTTGTGTTTATCGTGTTTTTAACAAAATTTAAGGTTAAGTTTCGCACTGTCGGTGAGGTTGGTGCTTATACCATTGGCCGGCAAGTAGTAAGAATAAAAAACAATAATAATTTCTTTATTTGATAATTTATTATTATTTTTACTGCTTTTGTACAATTTGATATGTTCTTAAATAAAAAATTTAAAAAATTATTTAAAGTTTGATATTGCATTGCGTTGAGCGTAAGGTTCGTTTTTAAAATAATTACCTGACTTATACATCAACTTTGGTTATAGTAACTCCTGACGTCCTGACCTAACCTTTAAATAACCATTTAAAGGGAAAATCAGTCAAACGATTTAAACTTCAAAATTGTTCAAAATAAAAGTATTAAAATGTATTAATAATTAATATTATTATTAATATTATTGAAAAATAATGGGAAAACCAAAGGATTTAAGTACTGATGAAGATCTTAATGCAGGTGAGTTTTAATTTTTAATTTTTAACAAAATTTTGAGTTTGATGCTTTAGAATCATTTATTTTACAGATCCTAGTCTCGTATTGTTACAAAAGAAGCACAAAAAACATAAACATAAGAAACATAAAAAGAAGAAATTATCAATGGACAATACTTCATTTTTGGATATAAATGTGGATTTGGAGAAGAAGAAACCCTTTAAAGTGAAAAAGAAGGAGGACGAAAAAAGGTATAGATTTATAATTTTATACAATAAATATTAATTACACTGATAGAAAAATCTGTATTTAATTTAATATAAAAGTGTGTCAATTAAATACGCAACACGATTGTTGAAATTTTAGAAGCAAAAATTGGTTAAAATTATTTTTTTAACTGTTTGGTGTTCGTATTAGATATTTAGGTTATGTTTACTAAATGTCCTATTACGTACAAATATATTATATTATATTATATTTTATATTATATTATATTAAGTGCGAATCGTGATATATTAACAATGATTTTAAAAATAATTAAATCTTAAATTCTTTCTCAGCGTCGATAAATTACGTGAAAAGGCAAAAATGCCCACGTTAAATATTGCCGGTCCAAGTACATCGACATCACCAAAAGTGCCAACAAAAAAGAAAGTGCCAAGAAACAATAAAGGAAAGGACAGTGGCACTAGCAGTGAAGAAGAAAGATGGCTAGATGCGATTGAATCCGGTAAATTAGAAGAGGTTTGTAGATTTTAAATAAAAGAAAAGTTTCAGTTTGAAATTTCGTATAAACGAGATGATATTAAAAATATCGACATTTACAGCTTTAATTTGAAAAAATAAGAATTTTTAAAATAAATTTTAATTTTAATATATCGGCGTAATTAATAGACGACTTTTCAAATTAGGTGGATGATGAACTTAAGAAAATAAAGCCAAAAGATCCAAAATTGATGACAGCTCGTCAACGAGCAATGTTCGAGAGAAAAACAGACGCAGAACCAAATTCCAGTGTTGAACAACTTGTATCCCTACCAACGGGTTACAAGGAAAAAGTAATGACTGCCGAGGCAATACAAAAAGCTGCACTGAAATCATTAAAACGTAAACAATTGGCTGATGAAAAACGAGAGAAAGATAAGGTTTGAATTTAAATTTCAAAAGAAAAACCTTTTTGCCTTTATTATTTTTCAAAATGAAACACACATTTTATTGCAGAAAAAAACAATGGAGCGACTTTTAAAGAAACAAGAGTCAAAGGCGTCAAAAATTATCGGCAAAGGTAAACCGTCCAGGCGTCAAGTTCCATTAGTCACCTATAGATTGACTCTAGAAGGAAGTTCAATATCAATGCCATTGGGAGAAGATTTTCCTCTACATCAAATGAAGGAGTAAGTAAATATTATAAAAAAATTTCTCTATTTTCTAAAATAATTTGTTTTCCTTTCAGATCGGAACCACCTCCAATCGTCACTTGTGGAATGCCTCATTGTACAAAAATTAAAAAATATTCATGCTCGAAGACTGGAATTCCATTGTGCAGTTTGCAGTGTTACAAATCAAACTTAATAGCAATATTATCGTAGAATTTAAGTAAATGAACGTCGAATTTATTATTTATTGTTATGATAATACTCTATGTTTAATATTAAGTTACACATGAATAAACTATTTCTTTAAAGAAATGGTTTAGGCGAAAATTCATTTTTTCAGGTTTTATTTTCAGTTTATAGATTTGAGTTCAAGTGATCCGGCATTCAGAGTAATCATTTTATTTTCAGTAAAAATTCAACAGTCCTGTTTTAATAGACAAAATAAAACATTTAAGGACATCAGAGACCTATTATTGCACAATCAAGTGATCGTTGAGTCAAGTGATCCAACGTTCAGGGTAATCATTTTATTTTGAAAAAAAATTCGACAGTCCTGTTTTAATAAACACAGGGCTCGAACTAGGTCCTTAAATGTTCGTAAATTTGCTTCAAGTCCGTAAAAGTCAGTTTTTTGAAAAAAGGTCCGTAAAGACCGTAATTTGATAGAAAAAGGACGAAAAGTTCGTAAATTGTACGATATAATTTGAAGAATCTTAGAGAAATTGCAAAAATTCGATTATTTTCAAAAGTAATAAAATTTTTCGCAAAAATTCCAATTATTTAAAAAAATAATAAAATTCTTGTTCAAAATTCAATTATTTTCAGAAATTTTAATAAAATTCTTGGCAAAATTACAATTATTTTCAAAAAATTTCCTCATTTCAATGATTTTTAATATCTACTACGTTAATAAAATTTTCCAGAAGAATTCAATTATTTAAAAAAATTTTAACAAACTTCTACGCAAACATTTTAATTTTTCTCATAAAATAATAAAAATTTCACAGGAATTCAATTATTTACAAAAAATTTTTTATAGATTTCTTCTAAATAATTCAATTATTTTCAGAAATAATAAAACTCATTGCAGAATTTCAATTATTTTTAATACAATTTTAATGTAATTCCTCGAAAAGTGTAATATTATTCTTAAATTTTTTATTAAAATTCATCAAAAGAATTCAATTATTCAATAAATTATTTTTTTTTTATTTATATAAATGAATAAAAAATTAGTTTAAGTTAAAATTTTAAATAATAATTGAATATTAAAAGCATTATAGCATAAATTTTCAGAAATAATTGAATTTTGAAAAGGTTTTATATTAAAATCTTTCAAAACTTTGAATTTTTCATCCTGTTAATTAACAATTCTGTAGAAGAATTAATTTTTTTGAAAAAGTTTATTTCAAATTTATTTTTAATTGAAGAATTTCCAAATAATTGAAATTTTATAAAATTGAATCGTAAATAAATGAATTTAAAAATTCTCAAAGAACTTTTTCAAAAATTATTAAAATTAATAGATTTATAGAAGAATTTTAGTTAAAAACACATTAAAAAAAATTTAATTTTGGAGAAATTACAAATTATTTCAGAAATTTAATTATTTTCAAGAGTAATAAAATTCTACGCAGAAAAATTATGTTAAAAAAATAAAAAAAATTCTTTTTAGGAATTCAATTAATTTCATAAATAATAAACTCATCGGAGAATTTCAATTATTTTTTAATATTTTAATACAATTTTAATCGAATTTCACGAAAAATATAATTATTCTTAAAAATTTTTATTAAAATTCCTCAAAAGAATTCAATTATTTAAAACTTTGTGATAAAATTTTATATTAGAATTCAATTATAAGAATATTCAATTATTCAATAAATTATTTATTTTGTATTTAAATAATTGAATTCCAGTAGAATATTAATAAAATTCTTCGCTGAAATTCAATTACGTTTAAAAATTTTTTTGAATTCTCGTCAAAATTCAAATTATTTTTAGAAATAACAAAATTTTTCTCTGACATTCAATTATTTTCAAAAATTTTAATACAATTCTTGGCAAAATTTCAATTATTTTTAAAAATTTTCCTCAATTCAATGATTTTTAATATTTACTATTTTAATCAAATTTTCCAAAAGAATTGAATTATTTAAAAACGTTTTAATAAAATTCTATGTAAACATTTCATTATTTTCATAAAATAATTAAAATTTCACAGGAATTCAATTATTTACAAATTTTTTATAGATTTCTTCTAAATAATTCAATTATTTTTATAAACATATTAAAATTTTTATAAAGATTCAATTATTTGCGTAAATACTAAAATTTTTTTTTAGGAACCCAATAATTTTCATTAATAATAAACTCATCGCAGAATTTCAATTATTTTTTAATACAATTTTAATTGAATTTCTCGAAAAATTCAATTATTCCAAAAAATTTTATTAAAATTCGTCAAAAGAATTCAATTATTTAAAAATTTGTTGATAAAATTTTTTATGAGAATTGAACTTTAAGAAACATTCAATTATTCAATAAATTATTTATTTCTGTATTTAAATAATTGAATTCTTGTAGAATTTTCGAATAAAAATTGATTTAAAAATGAATTTCAGTGAAAATTTTAGATAATAATTGAATTTTAAAATTAATTTTTTTGAAAAAGTTTAATTGCGGATTCTTTTTTGAAGTTATTTGAAATTTTAATTTTTTAATATATATGTAATTGAAGAATTTATGAATAATTGAAATTTCATATAGAATTGAATATTGAAAACGAATGGATTTGAAAATTGTCAAAAATTTTTTTCAAAAATTATTATAAAAATAATTGATTTAGAAGAATTTTAGTTACAAATTCTTAAAAATAATAATTCAATTGATATGATGAAAATAATTTTGAAGAAGTACAATATTTTTATAATATAAAATAATGATTTTATTAATTTTTCATCTTTAATTATTATAAAACATGATAAGAAATCGATCACATTACGATTACATTTTTTTCAAATGTCAAGTGGAAGAAAGTCAACAGATTCAGAAGAAATCAATTTTTATGCTCTTGTTGTAGCTATTAAATTGTGTTTATTTGATAGTCATATTTTGGCGAATAAATATTATTATTTAGTATATAGTAATATATATTATTAATATATTTAATTATCGCTACTAAACATAACGTTTTATGTCAAACTTTTTAAATTTTAGCAATTTTTAATAAGTGTCTCACAACTGGACCCATTTTTTTTTTTTTTTTGACAAAAGCGATGTGCTCGGAAAATTGATCATAACTTTTTTTGAGTCCATCTGAACACTATACTTTCTTTGAATGAAAGTTGCTTATTTAAGTTACTCTTCGAACAGTATATTTTATTTATAATTTCGTTTACCCATTTACAATATTTATGGGTCAAAAACAAAATCCGTCTCATACCTAGACACACTCCCCTAAAAGTAATTAAAATTATTTTGCCAACATCCTCTGGAAGTAAGCCACGCGAATCAGTAACCGGTTCTTTTACCATGTTGCGATTGTTTTTTCTCCACTACTTCTTGTATTTATCCTTAACCTAAACCTTGCTTTCACCATTTCGGACATTGGCTACATCGTGAGTCTTCATTTAAACGCGATACAGTGTGCGTGCGCGTAAAAATCTTCTATTACTCTCGATCGCGTTCCACATCTTCAATGTGAATTACAAAACTATTCTTTAATCCCAGATTTTCTGGGTCATCATGGAGTCATTAAAAATAGTAATTTTTATCACTGGACTTTTATTATCATCATTCATTCAAAATATCACATCAATTGGTAATATATTAGTGAGGAAAATTTAATTTTTCCACTTGATTTAATTTTTTTTTGAATAAAAATTTAGAGAAACACGTGACTTTCTTTTAACTTTCGCAAAAATAAAAAATTGCTTTTATTTTACAGTTAGCTTGAGAAACTGGTTTTACATTATTTTCTTATTTTCAAACTCTAGTTTTATTTTCATATACATTTTTTCTTTATTAATAATTTCTTAAGTGTAATTATTTTTGTTTATATCAGATTTTAAAAAAGACGATTGTCTACGAACGTGTGGAAAATCTTCGAGAAATTGTCGATATGATTTCTATATTAGTGAATTCAATGACTTAAATAGGTGAGTACAAACATTTGAAGAAAAATTTAATTTTCTACTTTATGTAAATTTTAACAAAAACGGTATTCTATTAGTTTAACAAAATTAAAAATGAGGAAAAACAATTCCAAAGTGGACCAATTTTTTGTTTTTATAAAATTTGCTATTTTTTCGATTAGGAAATATGAAATTTTTTCTGGTATTTAAAAACCCAAAAAAAAAAATTAAAAGGAAAAAGATTCAATTTATGTAAAGTGTGAAAACTGTATGGTACACTGATTTTTAAAATGTATATTATTTCTTTAAAAGTACCGTTCATGCTTTCCAGGCGGTGCAACGAGTCACAGGAAGAAAATAATGACCAATTATTCTGTTTGGTGAATAAAACACACAAAAGTCCTTTGGCAATTAATGGAAAAAGTCCCGGTCCTTCAATTGAAGTAATGCTCATACTGTAATTATTCTAATTAATTTTTTGAAATTTCTTTTTTTATTTTTAATAATCGTCGAGGTTATTTTCATTCGAAAAAAAATTTATCTGGTGGAATTGAAATTTGAATTAACAGCAGGGTGGCCACATGTCAGTAAAGTCAGAGAAATGTCAGGAAAATTAAGAATATTGACACTTTTTTCCAATTATTTTCAAAAATTCAAATACATACAACATTTTAGAATTATTTTTAACATTTTGGAGAAAAAAATCATGTTCAAAATTTTTAATTAAAATTCATCAAAAAATTAATTAGTTTTTTTTTAAATTATATACAAAAATTCTTTTAGGAAATTCAATTATTTTCAAAAAATTAAATTAAAATATTTTAAAAAACTAATTATTAGAATTATTTTATAATAATTTTTTAAGATTCAATTACCTTTAAACAATGTAAATAAAAATTTATGAAAATTTATTATTTATTTTATTTACAACTAGCTGTCGTACCCGTCTTCGACGGGTTTTAGTTTCTACCAATACATTTAACAGTGTTTCTACCAATCTGAAAAATCAGGAAATAGCCGGGCATTTAATTTGACCGAAAAAAAATACTAATTAGTTACCATTAGCTACTTCGGTAGAAAAATATTACTATTTGAATAGTCTCCACCCTTTAGCAAAAAATTAAAAATTATTAAAAATTATCAAAAATTCGAAAAACCGAATTTCTTAAAATTCAATATTTTTTCTTCTGTTTTATAGCATTAGGCTTCATAATTTTTGGGCTCTTCAAAAATACTTTACTTATTTAATAGTTTCCACCCTTTAGTAAAAAATCTAAAATTATCAAAATTTATCAAAAATTCGAAAAACGGAATTTCTTAAAATTCAACATTTTTTCTTCTTTTTTATGGCATTAAGCGTCATTATTTTTGTGCTCTTCAAAAACACTTTACTTATTTAAGAGTCTTTACCCTTTAGCAAAAAATCTAAAATTATCAAAATTTATCAAAAATTCGAAAAACCGAATTTCTTAAAATTCAACATTTTTTTCTCTCTTTTATGGCATTTAGCTTCATTATTTTTGTGCTCTTGGAAAATACTTAACTTATTTAATAGTCTCGACTCTTTGGTAAAAAATATAAAATTATCGAAAATTATCAAAAATTCAAAAATCCGAATTTCTTAAAATTCAACATTTTTTCTTTTCTTTTATAGCATTTAGCTTCATTATTTTTGTGCTCTTGGAAAATACTTTACTTATTTAATAGTCTCGACTCTTTGGTAAAAAATCTAAAATTATCGAAAATTATCAAAAATTCAAAAATCCGAATTTCTTTTAATTCAACATTTTATTTTCTCTTTTATGGCATTTAGGTTCATTATTTTTGTGCTCTTCAAAAATACTTTACTTATTTAATAGTTTCCACCCTTTAGTAAAAAATCTAAAATTATCAAAATTTATCAAAAATTCGAAAAACCGAATTTCTTAAAATTCAACATTTTTTCTTCTTTTTTATGGCATTAAGCTTCATTATTTTTGTGCTCTTCAAAAACACTTTACTTATTTAAAAGTCTCCACCCTTTAGCAAAAAATCTAAAATTATCAAAATTTATCAAAAATTCGAAAAACCGAATTTCTTAAAATTCAACATTTTTTCTTCATTTTTATGGCATTTAGCTTCATTATTTTTGTGCTCTTGGAAAATACTTTACTTATTTAATAGTCTCGACTCTTTGGTAAAAAATCTAAAATTATCAAAAATTATCAAAAATTCAAAAATCCGAATTTCTTAAAATTCAACATTTTTTCTTTTCTTTTATGGCATTTAGGTTCATTATTTTTGTGCTCTTCAAAAATACTTTACTTATTTAATAGTTTCCACCCTTTAGTAAAAAATCTAAAATTATCAAAATTTATCAAAAATTCGAAAAACCGAATTTCTTAAAATTCAACATTTTTTCTTCTTTTTTATGGCATTAAGCTTCATTATTTTTGTGCTCTTCAAAAACACTTTACTTATTTAAAAGTCTCCACCCTTTAGCAAAAAATCTAAAATTATCAAAAATTATCAAAAATTCAAAAATCCGAATTTTTTAAAATTCAACATTTTTTTCTCTCTTTTATGGCATTTAGCTTCATTATTTTTGTGCTCTTGGAAAATACTTTACTTATTTAATAGTCTCGACTCTTTGGTAAAAAATCTAAAATTATCAAAAATTATCAAAAATTCAAAAATCCGAATTTCTTAAAAGTCAACATTTTTTTCTCTCTTTTATGGCATTTAGCTTCATTATTTTTGTGCTCTTCAAAAATACTTTACTTATTTAATAGTTTCCACCCTTTAGTAAAAAATCTAAAATTATCAAAATTTATCAAAAATTCGAAAAACCGAATTTCCTAAAATTCAACATTTTTTCTTCTTTTTTACTGCATTTAGCTTTCTTATTTTCACTAGAAAAAAGTTGGTGTGATTTTTGTTGCGTGTTAAATTAAACAATGTTAAAGGACATAGAATGTGGCGCCACCTATGACGGTTAAATTTGTTGCGTGTTATTTTAACACTAAATTCGGTGTTAAAATAACACTTTTTATTTTCTGTGTTGTGCTCTTCTTTCGTTCAAGTTAATATTTTATATTTATTTTATAATATTTTATTGAGTAAATATTTAAAAAAAATTTAATTTCTAAAAAAAAACATCTGAACTTTTCTAAAAAAAAAATAAAAATTTCTAAAAACAAATATTTTTTGTCTAAAGATATGTCTAGGTGATACTTTGGAAGTGTATTTATATAACAAATTAGATTTTGAAGTATCATTTCATTGGCATGGAATTAGACAGATGGGATATGTTCATATGGATGGTGTTCCAATGGTAACGCAATGTCCCATTCTACCATTTAGTGGATTTCGATATATAATGAAACCAGATAATTCTGGTACATATTTCTATCATGCGCATTCTGGTAGGTTTAAGAAAGAAAAAAATTATTAAAAAAAGTTTAGAAAAAAAAAAAATTACCAAATTTAATTTGTTTTGAAAAAGTTTTACAACAGGGCGACGGTTTATATGGATCATTGATTGTCAGAGCACCTGAAGATAATGCTAATTATGAGAAAATTTTACATCTTTCGTCAGGAACTTTAAAGCCCTCAGCAACATTTCCTGAACAAAAATTACCAACACCAAATCAACTATTAATAAATAATCAGGTATATTAGTAACTTTTTTTTTGCTCGAGTAACTTAAGATAAAATTAATTATTATTAATATTATTAAATATTATTAATAATTAATTAATATTATTAATATTAATATTAATATTAATATTAATAATATTGCCTATATTAACTCATAAATACGTATTTTTTTTAGAAAAATAATAATTTTAATATTTTTTTTATAGAGTAATGGCTCGCGAATTGACGTAAAAGGAGAGTCTCGTTATTTATTTCGTTTAATTAATTCTGCCGTTTTTAACTGTCCAATTTCGTTTTCTGTTGCTAAACATCAATTAAGAGTGACAGGAAGTGATGGAAATGAAGTTAAAATATCTGATCCGGCAACTCACATTATAATTTTTCCAGGTATTTATTATAAAAATGTGTTTGATTGTAAGTTTTATTAAAATCCTCGAATAACTCTTAAAACTCTTACTTGAGATTTATCATGAGTTTCTCTAAAGATTAACTCTTAAAAACCCCATTTAAACTGTTGAGTAACTTGTGAAAAAGTGATTCATGAGTTTCCAAATGTGGCTTCTAAGTAACTTATGAGTTTTCAAGAGTTACTCGTAGTGACTGGTTGAGCTTCTAAAGTGACTGATGAAAAGAGTCCCACAATTTACAAGAAAGTAATTCTTTTGAGTGACTTGTTTATTGTCAATAATCACTATTTTTTATGATTCACTTAGTGTCAATAATCTCTATTTTTTATAAGTCACTTAGTGTCAATAATCAATCCCAAATAACTCATAAGAATGAGTAACTTAATAGTGATTATTAACAATAAAAGACTCATAAAAAGTGTCTTTAGTAAAGTTAGCGTTGATTTGAGCGTTGAAATCAACACTGAGACACTATTGGCCTCATGTGAAAAATGTAATAACTTCGAAAAATAAATTTAAAACTATAAAAAATGTTAATTATTCTCAAAAATTTTTTGCAGGAATTGAATTACATTTTATAAATAATGAAATTCCTCTCTGAAATTCAAATATTTTCAAAATCTATTATTTTAATAAAATTTCTCAAAAGAATTCAATTATTTAAAAAAAATGCAGAATTTCAATTATTTTTAATGCAATTTTAAGTAAATTCTTCGAAAAATATAAATAATTATTTAATTTTTTGAAAATAATTACATTTTTAGAGGAATTTATTTAAAATAATTGTATTGAAAATAGAATTGAAATCCTATGAAAAATTGTATTATTTATAAAAATAATTGAATTCTTACAACGAATTTTATCAGATTTTTTTTTAATAATTGAATTCATGTGAAAAATTTTATTACTTATAAAAATAATTCAATTCTTGCGAAGAATTTTATTAAAATGTTTGTAAATAATTTGCTTTTAAAAAAAAAATTTTATGGAAATTTCAATTATTGTAAAACATGAGAAAATCGATTATTTCTAGTCGAAGACTCGGAGTTATTATTTTCATTAATAATAACATTTTTTACAGCGATTTAATTATTTTTAGGAATTCATTTATTTTCATATAGATAGAAATAAAAATCATCGCAAATTTTCAATTATTTTTAATACAATTTTTATCGAATTCCACAAAAAATGTAATATTCTTAAAAATTTTATTAAAATTCTTTTAAAATAATTCAACTATTTAAAAATTTGTTGATAAATTCTTCAGTCAAATTCAATTTTGATAAACATTCAATTATTTAATAAAATTTTCTTTTGTTTTTAAATAATTGAAATCTTCTAGATTTTTTAAATTAAAATTGATTTAAATAGGTTGACTTTTTGTTGAAATTTTAGATAATAATTAATCGAAGTTTCGTTAAATTGAATTGTAAGCAAATAGATTTGAAAATTCTTAAAAAACTTTTTTAAAAATTATTAAACAATAATTGATTTAAATAGAAGAATTTTATTTAAAAATTCTAGAAAACAATAATTGAATTGAATTGATGAAAATAATTATGAATTAAAAAAAGTTTTAAAAGTTTAATTCAATTCAATTGCTATTGATTCAATTGTTATTCAATTCAAATGAATTTAATTGTAATTCTATTGCAATTAATTGTCATTCAATTCAATTTAATAGTTATTCAGTTCAATCCAATTGTTATTCAATTCTATTCAATTGTTATTTAATTCAATTCAATTGTTATTCAATTCTATTCAATTATTATTTAATTCAATTCAATTGTTATTTAATTCAATTTAATTGTTATTCAGTTCAATTCAATTGTTATTTCATTCAAATCAACTGTTATTTCTCTCAATTCAATTGTTATTTAATTAAATTTAATTGTTATTTAATTCAATTCGTTATTTAATTCGATATTCAAATGTAATTAATTGTTATTCAATTCAATTCAATTGTCATTTAATTCAATTTAATTGTTATTCAGTTAAATCCAATTGTTATTCAATTCTATTCAATTGTTATTTAATTCAATTCAATTGTTATTCAATTCTATTCAATTATTATTTAATTCAATTCAATTGTTATTCAATTCAATTGGTTATTGAATTCGATATTCAAATGTAATTAATTGTTATTCAATTTAATTCAATTGTTATTTAATTCAATTTAATTGTTATTCAGTTCAATTCAATTGTTCTTTCATTCAAATCAACTGTTATTTAATTCAATTTAATTGTTATTTAATTCAATTCGTTATTTAATTCGATATTCAAATGTAATTATTTGTTATTCAAATGTATTTAATTCAATTCAATTGTTATTAAATTCAATTCGTTATTTAATTCGATATTCAAATGTAATTAATTGTTATTTAATTCAGTTCAATTCAATTGTTATTTCATTTAATTCAATGGTTATTTAATTTAATTAAATACCCTGTGAAAGGGACAATTAAGATCTTATAGAAATGTTTAATATTTTTTATTTTTCAACTCCTTCTTGCAAAAAGGGAAAAACCAACTTTGTATAATTGTTAATTACACAAATAATAAATTAACAATTTTTTAAATGTAAGTATTTAAATTCAATTAACAGCAATTAATGAAACAATTTTTGAGAGAAAAATGGAAATGAATTTTTCTGTTATATTTCATGATTATATTATATGATGAAAGTCGCAGAATCCGACTATAAAGTCTACACCGTTGCTGCTGAGCCGGTAAAAGAGAAGAAATTCGATTAGAATTTCAATAAGAGTGAGTGGGACACAAAATCAAAGTGATTATACTATATATATACATATATTTTTGGGACGTGCGGGATCGGAAGGAAGGGAAAGAAGAAACAGGATGAGAAAAATAGTGGGGATCTGCGAATGGTTGAATATACTATAGAGAAAGAGAATTGAAGGGTCTTCGCGCGCAGACTCATTTCATTTCGTGTGTGTATTGCTCGCCGGTTATTTTTCAACAAAGGAAAAATGAAGAAAGAAACGTTTTAATCGCGCGTCTCTCTATAAAAAAGAAGAAGAAAAAAATTCATTAAAAAAAAAACGATTTTTATAAAATAAGTTTTAACAGACGCGAGGCAATAATTGAAAAAAAAAAATAAAAAAATTCTTTGTGAATTGAAACGAAAATTTTTTTTAATCATTACTTCTCGATATAAAGCACATGTCCATGTATAATCAAGGTTTATGGGAGAATGTGAATATTAATTCAAGAGAAGATAATAATGTTAATGGTGTTATTTTTAATATGGAATGGACGAGGGAAAAAACTCTTGAACTATTAAAAGAATATCAAGCACGTCGTGTACTTTGGGATTGTAATACACGCGGTTATCGTGATCGTATAAAACGTAGAAAAGCAATACAGGAACTTGCCGATATCCTTGGATGTAATACATTGGAAGTGGAGAAAAAAGTGACAAATTTAAAATGTCAATATTCACGTGAAGTGCATAAAATACAGAATAGCAAGGAAAATTCAAATAGTCCTGATGATTTATACGTTTCAAAATGGTTTGCATTCAAATCAATGCAATTCTTAAGATTTGGCACACGACGATACAGAAGGAAAAAGGTAATTCTTCTTATTTTTTAATGTTTCCATCTTCGGAATTTTTATTGTCTACAATCTTTTAATTGAATTTAAATTTTCATAAATTTTCATAAATTTTATAAATTTTATAAATTTTATAAATTTTATAAATTTTATAAATCAGTAATTTTTTTGATTTAATTTTGATTCCCTTTGTTAAATTTTTGATATATACTAAAAGACGCTGGCCGACACGCGAGATAAAAGCCGGTTGTATACTTTTCCCCTCTACCCCCCTTAATCCACTCCCTTGCACCTGCTGCAGATGCACTATGAACCAGATACAAAAAGAAATTCCCTTTATTCCCTAAAACAGAGTTGCGACAAAAATTTGATTTTGTTTTTTATATTTTGACCATTTTTAAAATCTAGCAAAACATAGCCAAAGGCAAAAATAGTTTAGGACCAAAGAATGTGACTATGGTCGAAATATATAAATTTTCAGATTTTAAATTATTTTTGTCGTTGGACGTGGTTTGCTAAATTATGTGGCCATGGTAGGCCTCGCACTCATTTATTAAAACCTACTATTTACTACTTTTTTACGATTTGCTACAATTTGGATACTTTTTTTTATTTGTTATTTAAGAAATTTATGAAAATTTACAATTTTCAATTTTCAATTATTCAATAAATTATTTATTTATGTATTTAATTAAATTGAATTCTCATTATAGAACTTTGTAATAAGAATTGATTTAGAATTGAATAAAATAAAATAATTAAAGTTTTGAATAATTTTATTTATAAATTTCAAGAAAAAAGTGATTGATTTTTGAAAGAATTACTTTTGTTATTTTTAGAAATGGTTAAATTTTTAAATGCGTTACATTGAGATCAATTTGAAATATTTTAATTCCTGTTTACAAAATAAATAAGTTTTTAAATATTTATTTTAAAAAATTATTCTATTCTTGAATGTAATAAGGAAATTATAAAAAAATTCAGTCGTCAAGTTTAATTTTTCGATAGCTACTTTTTTTTACTGTTGTTTAATTAAGTTTACCTGCTATTTAATTGAATTTAATTGTTACTCAATTAAATTCAATTCAATTGCTATTAAGTTTAATTTAATTTTATTTAATTTCATACAATAGAATTCAATTTAATTTAATACAATTGAATTGAATTGTTCTTATATCAACTAAATTCAACTGTTATTCAATTAAATTAATTGATTTTGAATTTATTTGTTATTTAATTAAATTAACTACAATATTAATTTAACTTTTATTTCATTCAATTTAATTATTATTCAATTAAATTCAAATCAAATGCTATTCAGTTTAATTGAATTCAATTGGTATTCAATTTAACTTAATTGAATTTAATTTAATACAATTGAATTGTTCTCATTTTAACTAAACTCAACTGTTATTAAATTTAATTAATTGATCTTAAATTTATTTGTTATTTAATTAAATTAGCTACAATAGTAATTTAACTGTTATTTCATTCAATTTAATACACAAATTATTATCAAATAAAAAAAAAATTCAAATCAATTGCTATTCAGTTTAATTGGATTCAATTGCTATTCAATTTAACTTAATACAATTGAAATGAATTTAATTTAATACAATTATACTCAATTTAATTTAATACAATTGAATTGAATTGAATTCAATTTAACTTAATTGAATTGAATTTAATTTAATACAATTGAAATCAATTTAATTTAATACAATTTAATTATTTTTATTTCAACTAAATTCGACTGTTATTCAATTCAATTAATTGATCTTAAATTTATTTGTTATTTAATTAAATTAGCTACAATAGTAATTTAACTGTTATTTCATTTAATTTAATACACAAATTATTATCAAATAAAAAAGAATTCAAATCAATTACTATTCAGTTTAATTGAATTCAATTTCTATTGAATTTAACTTAACTTAATACAATTGAATTGAATTGAATTGAATACAATTGAATTTAATGTAATTTAATACAATTGTATTCAATTTAATTTAATACAATTGAATTCAATTTAATTTAATGCAATAGAATTCAATTTAATTTAATATAATTAAATTCAATTTAATTTAATACAATTGAATTCAATTTAATTTAATGCAATTGAATTCAATTTAATTTAATATAATTGAATTCAATTTAATTTAATACAATTGAATTGAATTGTTTTTATTTCAATTAATCATTGTCCAATTGAATTTAATTCAATTGTTATTCAATGAAATTAAATTGCTATATTAAATTACTTAAACAATTATGTAACAATAAAAATTTTTAATTTCTTAAATTATTTATTAAAATTAATATGAAAAACAAATTTTCTGATTGTTATCTTAATTTTTCAGGCAATTGATGATTCAAAATCAATGGAAGAGGAATATCTTGTGAGTAATATTGATCCAGAAAGTTTGACATTCATTGATGAAAATGATGAGACAAATGGTTCAGCAACGGGATCATTTAATGCGTCATTAAGTGAAGATGCCGAGGAATTAACAATATCATCAAGTGTCAAAGAAAATGAACATTATTCACAAACGGAGAATTATCATAATATTAATAATGAAACGGATCATGTGGTGAAAAATGAAATTAAAAATGATGAGAAAAAGAAATCAGTGAAGGAGGAATACATGAAATTTGGTGAAAGCATTGCATTGCAATTGGCCGAAATATCTGATTCATATTCAAGATCTGTTGCTAAATTGAAAATTAATCAAATTCTATTTGAAGCTGAAATTGGTATTTATGCGCAGGCGAGACGTTAAATTTTTTATTTTTTTATTTTTAATTTTTCAATTCAAAAATCATATATAATATGTGATAAATATCATCGTCATGAAGAAATTTTGTATTTATATATAGGATTACGTAGTTTTCCTCTGCCAATTGACAAGTGAAAAAAAAAAGTTTGTAACTATAGTTGTATTTTCCCAGTAGCGGCAGAAGTGGAAAACAACCTAAAAAAAAAAATTAATGTTGTACGGACTTTACAAACTTACTATACAGTTTTTGACAAATGTACAATATTTATTGTACAGGCTTAACAAATTATTCTTTCTTTTTACGCATAATAATGCTTCCTCAAAAATAGAATACGTAATTCGCAATAAGAGAAATTTTAGATTGTAGAAAGAAAAGTATTTTTCAGATACTTTTTCAGGGATTATTCACTAACAGTGATTCGTTGATATTTTTAAATGATTCCAAAATTTTTCGGAGGTTTTCAAATTGAGACCATTAACTGTTGGAAACACTTAGGACACTTGTAAAAAAGTGACTTGTGAAAAAAATTACTTTTAAATGATTCCAGTTCAATGGCACTCTACTTGACTTATTTAAAATTCAATTTTTAAAAATTTTTACATTTAAAAATCACTTTAAGCCTCTTGTAACTCTGAAAACACTTGACAATCACTTAGAGAACAAAATGATACAATTTAGACTCTTGTGGAAAAGTAATTTGTTAAAAATATACTTTTAAGTGATTCAAAATAAATTCTGTTCATCTGAAGGCATTTGAAACTCACTTAATAGACACTTAATAATCACTTAGAAAACTAATTGAGTCACTTTAAAGTCTTGTGGAAAAATAACTTGTTGGAAAAGTGATTTTTAAATGACTCAAAGGTGAGTTTCATCTAATTTGAGACATTCAAAAGTCTCTCTTGGTTTTTGGTCGCTTAGAAGTCACTTGAAAATCACTTAGTCAACTAAGTGATTTACACTCTTGTGGAAAAGTGATTTGTTAAAAACATATTTTTAAGTGATTTAAAATCAATTCTATTTTTCTTAAATAATTTAAAAGTCATTTTTGGTCACTTTAGTACTAAGAAAGCACTTCGAATCACTTAGTGATACACTTTAGACTCTTGTGGAAAAGTGTCTTGTAAAAAAGAATCTTTTAAGTGATTCAAAATGAATTCTATTCGTCTGAAGTCATTTAAAAGTCGCTCTTGCCCTCTTATCACTTAGATGGCACTTAGATTCACTTAAGAAATTAAGCGAATCACTTAAAACTCTTGTGAAAAAGTGATTTGTAAATAATGAGACTTTTAAAACCCTCAAGATGATTTCTTTTCATTTTGAGACATTTAAAAGTCACTCTCGGTCTCTTGTCACTTAGAAGACACTTAATAATCACTTAGAAAACTAATTGAGTGACTTTAAAGTCTTGTGAAACACTGACTTGTTAGAAAAGTGATTTTAAAATTACTCAAGGTGAGTTTCATCTAATTTGATACATTCAAAAGTCTCTATTGGTTTCTTGTCACTCGGAAGTCGCTTGAAAATCACTTAGGCAACTAAGTGATTTAGACTCTTGTTGAAAAGTGACTTGAAAAAAGTGATTTGTTGAAAATATGCTTTTAAGTGATTCAAAATGAATTCTATTCATTTTAAATAATTTAAAAGTCATTTTTGGTCTCTTGGCACTAAGAAAGCACTTGGAATCACTTAGTGATACACTTTAAACTCTTGTGGAAAAGTGTCTTGTAAAAAAGAATCTTTTAAGTGATTCAAAATGAATTCTATTCCTCTGAAGTTATTTAAAAGTCACTCTTGGCCTCTTATCACTTAGATGGCAATTAGATTCACTTAATTCACTTCTTGAATCACTTTAATGTCACTTTTTTCACTTTTTTTTTTAATCACTTTTTTATAAGTCACTTAATAGTCACTTAAAGTAATTATTGTCAAAGAGGTCACTAAATAAGTCACTGAAGAGACACTTTTTGTACATTATGGGACTCTTTTTATGAGTTACTTAAGAGTCACTTTTTTAACTTACGGAACACTTTTTTGAGGTCACTTATAAATTTAAACGACTTACTTAAGAGTCACTTAAGTCACTTTTGACTTTTTGTAACTCACAGGTCACATTTTTTTTAAACACTTATTTTAAATAACTCACTTGACAGTCACTTTTTGTAATTATTGTGACACTTTTCCGTTTCTCATTTTTAAGTGAGTAATCGAATCATTTAAGTGACACATCTGACGAATGACAATTTCGATATAAAAAAAATTTTGTTTATTTGTTTGTTTTTTTGTTAGTTTTTAATCTTTTGTACTTATGCCCATTAATTTAAACCTTATTTTTCATTATTCGATATTTAAGAAATTTTCTAACGGCCTTGAAAGTGTACTTCCTCATTGTTGAAAAAATATTCACCAAAAAAAAAAAAAAAAAGGAAAACGTTATTTTTTAAGAATTTTCAATGTCGAGTTAATAATAAATAGCATCAAGCAAATGTTACTTAAGAAATATAATATACAATATTTATTGTGATCTTAGAAGTATTAAATGAAAATGAAATTAAAAAGAAACATAAAAAAATGTATCCCGAATTTGTAATATTGAAAAAGTTTCATTCTTTAAGTTTTTCATTATGTCTAATTTTATAATGGGGTTGAAAAAAATTTGTTTAATTTGCTTTTTATTTTGGTTCAACCTTTAAAAGTTTGTCGATATTTTTGAAATAATAATATTTTTTATAATAATAAAATAATTATTTTTTCATAATTTTTTTTTTAAATATTTAAAATTGTCTTCTATTTTCTCGGTAAAAATAATTTTTACCTTTTATTTTACTTAAAAAAATTTAGAGATACTAGTTTTTAAGAAACAATTTTTATGACTTATGCTTTCTTTGTAATAAAAATATTTTTCTACTTGATAAAATATATTTTTAATGCGCTTAAAAATCCAGGTGAGATTAGTATAATTTTTTTAATTCACATCTTGTAGTTTTTTTGGGCATTTTTCATTAATAAGGTGTAAAAAAAAAATTTATAATCTACGTGATTTTTAGTTCTACAACACTTGTTATTTTGAGATTTATATTAAAGTCTTGCCAAAAAATTATTTTTTTACAGTTTCACACCTTTGTAATTTATATAATTTTAAGGTCTTGTTTAAAATTTTTGAAAATAATTATTCTAAACTGTTTTTTTTAATGATGTAATCAAAAATAGGAAACAAGTATTAAAGTTTATGTTCTAGTTTTACTATTAATATCCTGATAAATGTGATCAGTTTTACAACTTCAGGGATTTTACTTAAAAATATTTTTATATATCTACATAAATATTTTATGTATACTTTTTATATAATGTAGTTAAGTGCATTGTTCAATAAAAATATATCATCAAAAAAAAATTAATTCTCGTGTTTTTTCTTTCTTTTATGTTATAAACTTTTTTCTATATTTTTAAATTATTATTTATTCTTGTCTTTTAATATTTTTATATTTAAATATGAAATTAAGGCGAAAATAACAATTTTCAATTTTTTTCAGGCGAAAGAATTGATGCAATTATTGAAACAAATCAAAATCCAGGAAAATATCAAATAATTCTTCAAGGACTTGTTGATTGTCGTCATTTATTACACGAGGGTTATCTTTTCTATTTGGAATCAAATTTCATGAATGTAATTGAAGATGAAAAAATTTATTTAAATTTAGAAGAAATTTCTCAATTAGAAAGAGGATATAATTGTGATAAATTAACAAAAAATGTAATATGTAGCTTAGATTTAAAATCAAATGATGAATTTTCATTAAATCATGAATCTGAAGAAACAGTCTTGATTCCATTTGATGTTAATAATTTTCAAAGTATCACCGATGAAATGACTGATGAGAATTTTAATATTTACGATTACTCCTATTATCCTTCGTTTTTAAGTAAGCAAAAACTCTTTTTTTTTTACAAGTCTTATAATAACAATTTTTATTATTTTTTTTAAAAGTATTTTTTAAGAAAAGAAAAACATTTTTTGAGAATAGAATTTTTTATTAAAAAGAAAAAAATTATTTTCAGCAAAATTTAATTGACAAGTGTTTAGAATAAAAATTAATTACTCATTATTTTTAGGTCTGCTAACAAATGGCACACAAATACCACAAATAAATGGAATGACATTTCAATATCCTTCGTCGCCAATTTTATCACAACCTGAAAATACTCCAGAGGATTTGTTATGTTCATTGGAGAGACGTTCAAAAATGTGTGAAAATACACCCATTTTTTGTGAGTGTGTACAAATTTTAGAATTGCCACCAAAAAAAATTGTTGATTTAATTTTCATAAATGAGGGTAAGTTTTAGGGGAAAAAATCTATAAGACAAAATTATTAATTTTTGCATAAAATTGTAATAAATTTTTACAGGATTTAGTGGTAATACTTCGTTCACATTTCACGTACACGGCTACAGTGTTAATATAATAGGACAAAATAATTTTCCACTAGCAATTTCGAAAAAAGAAATTATTACTCTACATCAAAATAAAAAATTACAGTTAAATTTAAAGGATCCTCCGAAAAAGGATACTTTCGTTGTGCCGAATAAGGGATATGTAATTGTTCGTTTTCAAACAGACAACCATGGTAAGAGTATAAGTGTAAATTATTTTTCTCTTTGGTTATTGTTTTGTAAAGTAAAAATAGAAATTTTTTAATTTTTTAAATTTTCTGAATTTTATTACATTGTATTTTGAATAGAAAGATGTTATGGAAGCACGATTTTATAAAACAAAATGACGACTTTTATTATTATTATTAATAAGTTGAAGTAAAAAAATAATACGTGTAGGGCGAAATATTATCATGTGCCGCGCCTGAGTCTCCGCGCAGCCAATCGGTTCTCGAGAACTCCCCACTAGTCCGCGCGATCCCCACCTAACCGCTAGGCTATATAAGCCGGTGCACAATGCAGAACGTGTGACAGAGCGGTATTAACGCTATAAGAGGTTAAACCTCACAAAATTTGTTTCTAACGTTACTCGCGATAAAAGATAAAAATAAACGTTGTTTAAAATTAATGTCAAACGTTCGTTTGACATTAATTTTAAACTCTGTTTATTTTTATCTTTTTATCGCAAGAATGTAAGGAAATAATAATCTTGGATGAGAATAAAATTTATATCGCAACATATTTACCAATTAAAATTTACAAAAACGATTTAATAATGTTCGAAATTCTAACATCCACACAGCATATAATATTTGGTGAACATTTCACTGAAAGAAAATTAAAATATTTATAATATATTCCTTTTATTCCCAACAGGTTATTGGCTGTGGGAGGCCAGAAGTACAGGTATTTCTCCAGCTACCACAGGACCTGGTATGCAATTTCTAATGCGTGTTGGTAGCCGTGAAAATCTACCTGTCGTCCCATTAAATTTTCCCACTTGTGGAAGCAACAAAAAACCTGGTATGATATTCGAAACGGAAATTGAAATCTAAAAATTTCCATGATACTTGTAAAATGTAAAAAGTTGTATCAATCACAATTTACAATTAGCCTATCTGTGCAATTTTGTTCTTTTATTTTGACATCCGATTTACTTTTACATTAAGTTTAAAACAGACTTGACTTCTACTTTAGAACAACATCACGGTTTTATGAAAGTACATAACCCGTAATTGAGTATTCTCGATTTTTTAATTAAATCCAAAGTTTTATTAACAATATTATTTATGAATTTTACTTAAATAAGTTGACTTTAAGAGCAAAAATTGAAGAAAGTAAATTAAATTGTCAATTAGACATAGTTGTGTATGTTTACCCTGACAAAATGGGTGGAGGGGTCTAGAAAAAACCCCCGATTCAATGTAAATGAAGTTCTTAGTTATGATCTTTAATTACCTATATTTTTATGGATAATAACAAGGTATAAAAAGCACTCTCAAATTATATCTATCAATAGAAAAATAAATTATAGATTGGAACAATACTAAATGATTAAAACTTCATCAAAAAACAGTATTTTTGAGTTTATAAATTAATACAAAGTTTTCTAAACATTATTATTCATGAATTTCATCTAATTATGTTTGATTCAAGAGCTAAAATTGAAGAAAGTGAATTAAATGGTCAATTAGCAAGAGTTGTGTATGTTTACCCTGACAAAATTGGTGGGAAGGTCTACCAAAAAAACCTCTATTCAATCTAAATGGAATTTTTAGTAATAATATCTGATTACCAATTTTTTGTGGTTTATAAGAAAGTATAAGTAGCACTTCCAAATCATATCCATCATTTGAAAAATTAATTATAACTTTGGAATAATACTAAATGACTAAAACTTCATCAAAAAACCCTGTAAAACCTTATTTTTGAGTTTCTTATTTAATCCAAAGTTTTTTTTAGCATTATTATTCATGAATTTCATCTAATTAGGATTGATTTAAAATCTAAAATTGAAGAAAGTGAATTAAATCGCCAATTAGACATAGTTGTGTATGTTTACCCTGACAAAATAGGTAGGTAGGCCTACAGAAAAACCTCTATTTAATCTAAATGGATTTTTGAATCATAATCTTTAATTAACTATTTTTAAGGATAATAAGAAAGTATAAAAATCACTTTCAAATAATATCTGTTACTTTTAGAATTAATTATTGGAACAGTACGTAAAGATTTAAATTTCACCAATAAAACCCCGTAAAACAGTATTTTTGAGTTTATAATTTAATACAAAGTTTTTTGAACATTATTATTCATGAGTTTCATCTAAATAGGTTTCCTTTAAGAGCTAACATTGAAAAAAGTGAAGTAAATCGTCAATTAGCCATAGTTGTGTATGTTTACCCTGACAAAAGTCCGTGGAGGTCTGGATTAGACCCCTTATATGCTCCATTCGGATTTATTAGTCATTATCTTTAATTAATAATCACCATATAATTAACAAAAGTATGCAAAGATTGCTCTTTAATCCTTTTTGTCTTTTCTTAAATTACTTCTAACTTAATACCAATACCAAAAGCATATGATGATGCAAGAAAGACAGTAGGGGTGTATTTACCAGATTTTTATTAAATCCAAAGTATTATTAACAATTTTCTTCATGCATTTCACTTAAATAACATTAATTTGTAAGTAAAGGTCAAAGAAAATAATTTAAATTTACAATTTAAAGTAGTTGTGTATGTTTACCCTGACAAAAATGGTGGGGGTAGCTCTACTAGACCTCTTGTATGCTCTATTCAGATTTATTAATCATAAACTCAAATTACCTTTATTTTGCAGCTACTAAAAGGGTATCAAAATACTCTCTAATCATAATATTGTTAGTTTAAAAATTAATAACTTTGGGTCGACACTAAACGACTGCAATTTCACAAAAAAAAACCCTGTAAAACATTAGTTTTGAGTTTTTAGCTTAATTCAAAAATTTTTTTAACATTATTATTCATGGATTTTATTTAAATAAGTTGGATTTAATAACTAACATTGAAAAAAGTAAATTAAATTCTCAATTAGCAGTAGTTGTGTCCCACCCTGACAAGAAGAGTGGGTTATGCCAAAGGAGTGGATTATTTCCGCACGGATTTATTAATCAATCTTTCATTTAAAATTTTAAATACAACAACTTATTAAAATTATTGACTGATTTTACAGTAATATTATTATTTTTAGATGATTTTATAGTACACTCTTTTTTTTTATTTTACTAAAATTTTATTCAAAGTTTATTCAAGATGTCAAAATGAAAACATGTTATTGCACCTCTGTATTTAAAAATATGTACGTCGTATTTATTTATTTATAAATTTCTAATATATTTATAAATTATTTATTTTAATATAGTAAGTATAGGGTGAAATAAATATTTACCTTGTACTTGAAAATGTTTCTAAAAACTAAATTTTTGTAAATTTACAATGTTAGGCAAAATGCGAAAGTAATTAATGTTTGTAAATAAAGTATAAAAACTGTTTTTCATTCATTTGGATTTTATTTACGATTTACCAGTATAATTTTTTACATATATGTCAGTTTATAAAAAAATACTCTACATTTATACATTGCGTCAAATTTCAATATTTAAAATTATAAATTGAATATACTATATGTAAGGTTAATAATTATTTTTTTTATTTTTGTAAATGAAAATTGAATTGTTCTTCTGGAGAATTTTATTTAAATTAAGCTCCTCCGATTAGTGCAATCAAAGCTCTCTTATAATCACCAGATGTTTCATTCTAAAGAAACGAAAAGATTTGGTTAAATTTTAACGGAAGTAAAAAATTATTGCTTTTTAAAAGAACACAAAAATTCATACTTTAACTGATGATTCCAGGGTTTTGTCGAAAAGCCTCTCGTATTCTTCCTTAATATTTCCGAGATCAATTTCTGAACGACTGACGATAATTCTAATTAGAGTTTGATCATCAGTTCCCGCGCCTTCCATTGCTTTACGTAACTTTTTAGCGAAAAATGCTGGTGGACTTTGCACACATTCCACTATGGCCAACATTGCATCTTTCAGTTCACCACTAATCTCATCATTTAATGCTTGCTCGATGGTTCTTCCACTAACGTCCTTGTAGGCCTCAAAAATAAGTTTCAGTTGTCCAAAACATTCGTGTGCTAAAATTTTATTGAATATTTCTTCGTCGGTACCAAGTTTTCCCTCTCCTAAATAAAAATAGAAGAATGATTTTAATTTTCAACAAAAACTACAATCAATGTTAATTTTAACTTACCGGCATTATAAAGCATCTCAGCTGTTTCTCTCGCACGTTCTGGATGGACTTCGGTTTGTGCATTCCTCACTCCCTGTTTATAGAGTTAAAAAAAGAATATTATTAATGAGGAATATTATTGAAGATCTAACGCTAAAAAATTAATTGATTTTAGTAATTTAACTATTATTTTTGTATAAAATAGTAATTAATATTTAATGTAATTAATAGTTTTGAGAAAGTAACAAGTTCATGTTCGGCTCGCAGGTAGAGACAGACTGACGACTGCGCACGCAAGCCGCGCAGTCCCTCACCCCCCACCACTCGCCACTGAACCGATTTTTCTCAATGTGAACTTTTCTTAATAAATAAAAATCTAATCGAAGGATTCTTTATGCAAAACTTTTCTTTTAATAGAGAAATTTTTTTTCTAACAATGCCAGTGGGAAATTGTTAATATTTCAGTGTAGAAAAATATTACCGTCACAATCAGAGTTAATAGTCTTCTAAAATCTCCAGAAGTCTCGCTACACAAATGTTCGGCTAATGGACGATCGTACACTGTAAAAGAAGTAAAAATAATTAATAAAACTTATTGAACTAAAATTTCTAAAAGACTAAAATTAAGGGAAAATGAAAATATTCTCTTTCGAAAAATAGCTTACGTCTTTCGTATGCATCAACAATTTCTTTCACTTCATTATTATCTCGCGAACAAAGAATTTCGACGAGTGTCTCCTCCTCAGTTCCTATTCCTGCCATAGCTTTCTGAAGTTGTTTAGCCATAAAATCAACAGGTGTTACTGTCAAAGCTATTATGACATCTTCAAATTTGCCTCCCAATTCACTTTTTAGGTCGTCAATTAAATTCTGAAAAAATAACGAAACAAAAAAAAATGAATTAGAAAAATTTTTAAAGCGTAAGAATTGAAAATCATTAAATTCTTACCCGTCCGTATTCCTGGGTGAAAAATTTTGCAATTTCCTGCCTCTGAGCATTACTGCGAGCTGTCAAAATGTCAATAATAGCTTGTTCATCAGTTCCAAAGCCTTTCATAGCAGTTCGAAGAGCTACACCATCCTCAGCGGCATTAAAGTTTGGTGCTGATGTCACGGTTGGTTTTCTCTATTTAAAAAAATTTTTTTTTTAAGCTTTTGCATTATTTAAATTTTAAACTATTAAAAATGGATTTTGTGGGTGATTCTTAACTCAATGGTCACTTTTGATTCCCCACTGTTTAATTTATTAACTTTAAAAATTATTTTCAAACCTGGGGTACATTCATGTAATAGTCAAGTAATATTTATAAATATTTGAAATTATATTGAAATTATAAATAAATATTTTCTTGAATCAAATAATTTTTTATTGAGTGTAAAAATTACTGGAAAAAATTTAAAAAATAAAATTTTAGTTTAATTTCAAAAATATACTGTATATACAATATAATTAAACTTACAATGTATCCTGTCATTGCGAATAATCCTTATATAAGATATTCCTGGAAGTAAATAAACAAACGGATTTAAAAATACTTTATAAATCAATAAAAATTTAGGTCTTTAAACTCAATTTAAAAAAAAATTTCTTTTCTCTACATAAAGATTAAAAAATATGTCATTACTTATTAGAGTCTATTAAGTTGATGTTAATCGGATAAATATATTAATGACATGAAAACAATATTGAATGTATTATTAAGCATATCGTTTTGTGGGAATTAAGGACAATAAAATTCGGCGCATGTGCGAAACAATTATATTACGACTATAGTTACTTAAAAATATATTTCGAAAATTTTGTTATCTATAAATTATAATTTAGTTTGATGAAAAAGAAATGATTTTTTAATGAAGAATTAACTTACAGTGGGAAAATTATTGATTCAATGTTTGTCAATATTTTTGAAACCAAACTTAATGGAATCTTGAGTAAGACTGGAAATAATTTTCATTTTCTATTTAGTGTAACGGAATTTCAACACAAGAAGGCAGCACCTTCTGGTAAAATGAAGCGAGAAATCATTTTCAATAGGACCTACTATGAAACAGGTTTTAAAATTCTTGGAAACTTAAACCAAAATCCACAAAGAATTTATTGAGGAAACCGGGATTTTGACCATTTGTATAAATTTGGCAAACTTTTGTCTTTGAAATTCGCTATTTTTTTCAATTTTGCAAATCTGATGACATTAAAATTTAAAAGTTAACCATTTTAATTTTCCGATATTTTTAAGTAAAAATTCAATTTTGATGAATTAAAAATACATTATTAGAAATAATATTCTAATTTTAAAAATTAGATTTTTTCAGTTAGGATCAAATTGTAAAGAATTTAAAACTTAACAAGTAGTTAAATTTTTCTTTTTAAAACGTCAATTTTAATTTTGATTCTTGCTTTCAAGTGAAAAAGTAGAAAAGTTATTACCGACCACGGATACTGTACCATCTGCTTCTACAGTTAACCATTTGAAATAATTTCGTAGGCAAAAGCTACGGTTTTCTAAATATTTTCTTCTTTTACTATCCGATGATATCAAGAATAATATTTTTACAAGTTTCATAAGTGCTCTATTAAATTGAGAGAAAAATTAATTTTTTTGGTTTTGTCATCAAAATTTGATCTAATCTGATGACAATTATTATTTAATTTTCTCCTCTGATGATTTCAGATTAAATCTTAACAGATTTTAGATACATTTTGGATTTTTCATCAAAATTTGATCAAATCTGATGATAATTGTTATTTGCACATATTTTGGATTTATCATCAAAATTTGATCAAATCTGATGACAATTGTCATTTGGACACATTTTGGATTTATCATCAAAATTTGATCAAATCTGATGACAATTGTCATTTGGACACATTTTGGATTTATCATCAAAATTTGATCAAATCTGATGACAATTGTCATTTGGACACATTTTGGATTTATCATCAAAATTTGATCAAATCTGATGACAATTGTCATTTGGACACATTTTGGATTTATCATCAAAAATTTGATCAAATCTGATGATAATTGTCATTTGGGAACATTTTGGATTTATCATCAAAATTTGATCAAATCTGATGACAATTGTCATTTGGACCCATTTTAGATTTATCATCAAAATTTGATCAAATCTGATGCCAATTGTCATTTGGACACATTTTGGATTTATCATCAAAATTTGATCAAATCTGATGATAATTGTCATTTGGGAACATTTTGGATTTATCATCAAAATTTGATCAAATCTGATGACAATTGTCAATTGGACCCATTTTGGATTTATCATCAAAATTTGATCAAATCTGATGATAATTGTCATTTGGACACATTTTGGATTTTTTATTAAAATTTAGACAATGATAATTATAACTTTTAATATTGGGATTGATTTCGAATTTATTCGACATATTTCGAAATTTTCTTCAAGATTTTTCTCAAATCTAACGATAACTATTGTTTTAGGGAACATTTAAAATTACATTCCGACTTTGGACTCATTTATGATTTTTCATCAAAAAACTTATCCAAATCTGATGAAAATTATCATTTTCATTTTTGTAATTGATAAATATTCTTGAGAATACCGTCATTTATTTTGAAATTATTCTAAATAGGTTTTGATGGTTTTTTCTATTTTCCATCAAAATATTCAAAATTTGATTAAATCTATCGAGAACCATCATTTTAGATTTTTCATCAAAATTTTGTTAAATCTGGTGATTTTCATTAATGTAATTATGTTTAAATTTATTCTAAACAAACTTTGGTTATATGTTGAATTTTTCATCAAAATTTTCTTAATTCTGATGATTTTCATTATTTTAAATGATTTTTAATTAATTTTAAATATATTTCGGTCATATTTTGAATTTTTCATCAAAATTTGATCAAATCTGATGATTTTCATTATTGTAATTGATTTCGGATTGATTCTGAATAGACTAGGTCACATTTTAGATTTTTCATCAAAATATAATCAAATCTGATGATTTTTATTATTGTAATTGATTAGGATTGATTCTAAATAGACTTTGGTCATATTTCGTATTTTTCATCAAAATTTTGTCAAAATTTGATGATTTTCATTATTGTAATTGATTTTTGATTAATTCTAAATATATTTTAGTCATATTTTGGATTTTTCATCAAAATGTTCTTAAATCTGATGATTTTCATTATTGTAATTGATTATGCATTTAATCTAGATACATTTTTGCCATATTTTAGATTTTTCATCAAAATTTGATCAAATCTGATGATTTTCATTATATTGTAATTGATTTTGGATTGATTCTAAATAGACTAGATCACATTTTAGATTTTTCATCAAAATTTAATCAAATCTGATGATTTTCATTATTGTAATTGATTATGGATTGATTCTAAATAGACGAGGTCACATTATAGATTTTTCATCAAAATTTAATAAAATCTGATGATTTTCATTATTGTAATTGAATTTCGATTGATTCTAAATATATAGTTTGGTTACTTTTTAGATTTTATATCAAAATTTTATCAAATATGATGATTTTCATTATTGTAGTTGGTTTTGGATTTATTCTAAACAGATTTTAATAATATTTTGGATTTTTCATCAAAATTTTCTTTACATCTGGTGATTTTCATTATTGTAATTAATTTTTTATTTATTCTAATTAAATTTTTGTCATATTTTAGATTGTTTATCAAAATTTGATCAAGTCTGATAATTTTAATTATTGTAATTGATTTTGGATTGATTCTAAATAGACTTTGTTCACATTTTAGATTTTTCATCAAAATGTGATCAAAGCTGATGATTTTCATTATTGTAATTGATTTTGGATTTATTTTAAACTGACTTTGGTCATATTTTGTATTTTTTATCAAAATTTTCCTAAATCTGATGATTTTCATTATTATAATTGATTTTGGATTTATTCTAAATAAATTTTTGTCATATTTTAGATTTTTTATCAAAATCAAAATTTGATCAAATCGGATGATTTTCATTATTGTCAATGTTTTTTGATTGATTCTAAATAAATTTTGATCATAGTTTAGATTTTTCGTCAAAAAGTTGATCAAATTGGAAGAATACTTTTATTATAGGATATACCTACATTTTGAATTAAATATTTGATTTTATTAAGATTAATGCAAATTATGTTCAGACAATTTTGGTGCTTATTTGTTTGAAGTCAATTTACTTCAAACAAAGTAGAATATGAAAAATGTTTTTACTTATTTTTAAAAAGTTATATTAACAATTGTCTATTTCTGATTGTTGTTCAATAGAAAAGAATTGCAAGCGAAGTAAAACAAGTTTGACTAAAAACTAAATCAAACACCGTTTCTGCATTTTTAATTGAATTAAAAACGTGTTGGCAATCAAGGTAAATCATCATAAACGAATAAACAGTACACAAACGGTTGTAAATAATAAAAGAATTAAAAACAATTTTTATTTTTTTTCGTTGACTTTGCAACCACAAAGATAAAATTTTTCAAAAATATTATCAACATTCACTCTAAATGATGTCAGTGAATATAATTAAAAAAAAACTTTATGTCACAAAACGGTTAATTTATTTTCTAAATTACTGTGTTAATAAATGGAAAAAAAGGTGAAAGATCCAAATTTCACAAATTAATTTAAACAGTAAAAAGAATAGTAAATTTTCACTATTCCTTAAATTACACTATTCGCATGCTTGTCTGGGAATATAAATTCAAAGACAAGTTTAAGATAATTCATTGTACATTGAAACGCAACGTTGAAGAACTAAATCTCAGTAGTCGTTACCTCAAAGTCAGAGAGATGATTCAGAGCGACGAAACAAGTTATATAGTATAAGTTATATCTTTGTAATTTTCATGTCTCTATTGTAATCCTTTTCTATTGTTCAACTTTTTCAAAAAAAAAAAAAACTATAAATTTAACTACAATTATTTTAATATTATTTCAGTTTAATAAAATTATAGTTTATATAAACATAACAATTTAATTTAAAAAATTCTGAATTATTTTCAGTTATATGTGAAAATAAAGAAATGAAAAGAATTTCCGGCATTACGTCAACATTTCCGCATTTCGCGAAAGAAAGGTTGATTAATAATTGAAGAAACTAAAAGTTTTTGAATTCAGCGAGGGAAAAATTTATTCTTCACCATTTTATTTTACTTTCTTAAAAAATTTATTCAATCGAAAATAACAACAATTAATTGTTTAAACAATTTAATAAATTGTTATATTTTTTTGCATAAATCAGAAACACTGAAACATTATTTTAATAGGTTTTTTTAATTAATTTTCTTAATTAGTGAAGCTAAAAAATTATATTTTTAATGATTTTTTTAATACTTATTGTTATTAACAAAATGTTTAGAAACAAAAATTTAAAAATCGAGCTCGTGAGATCGATAGCGAATTTTATTACGAAGATTTAGAAAAAAAGAATTATCATTTTGGTGAAAAAAATTGTGACCTGTAAAGTGATTCGAAACGAAAAAGTACATTTTTTGCCACTGTGCGCCATATTGGATCTGCCATTTTGAAAAATTTACTCTAAGTTCTTAATGTGCATAATATTTGCTTCTCAATATAACTTTAATGATGATGATTAAATTCTCGCATTGATTATATATTTAATTCGTAACAATGAAAATAATAATTAGACGCTAACAAGCTTTGATAGTTTTTCAATACTATTAATATTTCACGGGCTGCTATATTCATCCTACAAAGGTAGTTTGATAAATTAATGTCTTACAATTTAATGCACGGTAACGATATAATTAGCGTGTTCAGTTGTTGACTCAAGGGCTTGACACAATGACACGAACTAATTAGTCTATGTAACTATGTGTGGTGGAAGTAGTTGAATTGCGCTTTCTAAGCGAACAAACTTGTACAGCGTCTCAGCTGTCTCTCTAGTGCGTTCCGGATGAACTTCCGTTTGGGCATTTCTCTATTTCACACATATATAAACCGTTTACATGAGTT